CAATTACTCACTGTCTATACACACATTACATTCCCCCTCTTATATATACCCAACTACCCTATATCTAGTAAATACTAGAGCATTCGCCAAAGTACAGGATAGTTCTAGAAACGTGGCGTCACAGTGGTCATGTGACTCGCTGACGCAACAATATCATTAAATATTAGAGAAACATTAGAAATAATGAAACATAAAAAACAAAAACAAGTATTAAATAGAGATGAATACATTGATATATATGGCGAGATACATTTTAATTTTTATTATTTTATATGTTTTTTAAATTACACTAAGGAAATATGTAAATAACAATGAAGTAATGCGACAAGGGGGAAAGTATAAAATAGTTTTGTAAGTTACTCCTGAAGATGACGTAGATCACGTCGAAACATGTACTTGTAAAGTGATATTTTCAAGTGGAAGCCGTACGGCTGCAATAAAGTTTTTATTGTGTAAATATAAAATGTTGTTTTTAATTATTTATTATAATTTAAAAAAAATTAAACACAAGTGTCGGTAGTGCATATAGTTTTTGTTGTTATGCGCAGACACTAACAATTTATCAAATAAGATCATAAATATATATTTATTAGTGATATCATGACTGTTTCTGATAATTTAAAACTTCTTTGACAGTACCGTGACGAAACGCTATTGATTTTTAGTACAACGAACCAAACGATTTTAAAAGATGAGGTATGATCTTAAGACATCAAAATTCCTGACACATACATCCTGACATTATGGTTGTTTCGAAAAAACACCTCGGTTTTCCATTTTATTTGTTTTAAATTAAGCCATACAATATCCTCTTTCGTGAATTTAATACATTATTAGTACTTACTTATTGATTTAGGCTTTACAGTATATTATTTCCTGGTGTTAAAAGTTATTAGTGAGATCCTGATTTCGGACCCCTGGCTGTATGGCTTCCGTTGTATACTGTTACTATAGTAACCTGACGTTTGCTTTTCTTTGAGGTTCATGATAAATGATTAAATTCATAGCTACTGATAATAAAAACTCTGCAAGCAGACAAAAGACATTAATTATACGTAAACACGTGTCTTACCTTGCGTTGGTGGATACAATCTCGAAACTGTAAGATATTTAAAAAAATAATAATGAAATTACCAAAACTCCTAAACTTTAATCAATTAACATAACCAAAACATGATGACAAATAAGATAGAGAATTGTCATAAATAAGATCTATATAATGGAACATTATATTTGTAAATAAGTAATTCAATGATGAAGTCACTTAATTAAAATGGCTTGTTTCGTTAGTTCTAAAATATCGTATTTACAGATTTGTTTACAACGATTTTTTTTAACACATTCACTGCTGAGGACGCACATGTGCGAAGTAAACACAAAAAGGTAAAGATTACACGCTTTAGATTTGTTGTTATTGCTGTTGTTGAAATTGATATTGTATTAAAACACTTATCAGTACGTATAATAGATGATGCCAAGCATCGCAGCAATGAACGTGTTAATGTTTAATTAGAATCGTTTCTGTAAAATATACATACACAAGCTGAAATACCCGTCATGTGACGGGGAATGTTTAAACAATGCATGTTTAACAGCAACAATCATATATTTCAAAGTAATAACTTGAACATAAACTTTATCTCAGAATTTAAAAATTATAACAAAGCTTCTTCATAAACAACATTTGCTGTTGGCTTTCCATCTACCAACAAATAAAGATTTTGAGCTGATCCCACCCTTGAACACCGTACATCTCATTGACCATGAGAAAAGCATGGTTGTTTGAGAAACAATCCAGCAACTTTCATACTTTGACCTTGAATCTCTTTACAATATTCAACATTGTCTAAAACGTCAACCTGCCAATATTGTTTGGGATTGACTCAATAGGTTGGGAGTAATTAACCAACAGGCTTTACAAAATAGAAATAGGTTTAAATTCAATTTTGATCCTCTTAGGACATTCCCATATATATATATATATATCTGTATACAGATTACGTTTATTTTTTTCTTGCATCTTTTTTTCTTCTCAAAATCACCAAGTAGAATGATGGAACCGTCATCATTTTATCATTTCATCTTTACAGTAAAGATTTGCCATTTGTGTGGTTCAGTTCGTGCCTATTCCCACCCTCATTTCATTATTAAAGGTCTGTTGATAATGACTTTAATAAACTCATAGAAAAAAAAGGCATCTACGTTTGTTTCGTTTACTTCATCTAAGTGTATAGGAAACACACACGTGTTTATATTATGTAGTTATTAATAGCCATTGCTCAGATTTCCACATGGAATTTTTACTCAGAATAATTCGTTATATTAGCTAACCCTATTTCTTTAAAAAACAATACTTTTTATAATAAAAGCATTAGGTGTTTAACCTATAGTTCAACCATACCTGATGTCTAACGTCATCGTCTCGACACACTTTTTTGAAGAAAACTTCATCAGTAACAGACGGTTTTGCCATCTCTCGGCATTCCCAGTAAGTTTTGTTGTGCTAAATAATATACCAAAGAATTAGCTTTAGGTTTTGACCGGATAGCTTACGCGAAAAAAAATCCGTATATTTTTAACAACTTTAACCCTACAGTCTGCGTGGAAAAATCCATATGTTTTTAACATCTTTAACTGCATAATTTTTGAGAAAAAATCAATATATTTTAATAGCTTTAACCGTACGGTTTGTGTGAAAAATTCCATACGTTTTAAATAGCTTTAACCCTAAAGTTTATGTACTGGATTCCATTTGTTTTTAACAGCTTTAACCGTACAGCTTGTGTGAAAATGTCTAAGCTTCTTGTTTACAGATACTATGACAGACTGTGAGGTATTTTCCGCCATATAAAGCTCCTAAGACGAAGTGCCAATCTTAAAATTTGTATAATTAAACCACTTTACATCAACATTTCCAACAAAACATGACAATAATCGCATTCTAAGTTTTTTATATGTCTTGTTAGTAGAACTAAGCTAGATACGACATTTTCTTTAAAACTAGTTTTATCAACAGTATTGGTTAAAAAATTAACATATATAATTATATTTTATTACTAAGAGTCCTTCTTCCCATTGTTAGCTTAGTATCTGGATTCAGGACTAATATAAATATCCTGAGCTGGCTGAGCCTCATGAGATATTATTGGGATTACGACCGAAAACGTCTATAACGGTGAGGGTAAGTTATAATATTTATAATTTTTTGTGGAATTGAGTTCTCCTATTTAGACTGGTATATTACATTAGCAACATTATTTACTGGATTAAAGATTAATCTAACATTTGTAGGTAGATTTGTTTTTATCAGAATCCATTGATAATTGTTAACCCTATTAACATAGTTCAACATAGTTTGTAAATGGTTGTTGTTGTTTTTTAGCTACACAACAGACTATCTGTGCTTTGTCCACCACAGATAACCAAACCCTGATTCGAGGGTTTGATTCCATAAACTTACTAATGATTTACCGGGGAATCCAGGGAAATGGGAACTGAGGGTTGATGTTCTCAAGATTCGGTTGCACAGATACCCCCACTATCAATTTTATAGTTTGTTATTTTAATTCTTTGTGTGAAGAATACAGAAATTCCGTCATCGTGATTTACTTAAATATTAAGCTATTCGAGGGCTAGCAGTCCCAAGACTAGAGGGAAGGCAGTTAGTCAACACCACCCACCGCCAACCCTTGGGTTACTTTTTTTTATCAACGATTGACCGTCACAATATAACACCTCCACAGCTGAAAAGTCGAGCATGTTCGATTTGCGAGTGTAGCGTCCTAACCACCAGACTACGCCAGGCCAAGAATTACGTTTGGCTGAGTTTTATATCTTACCTACATGATGATAAAATGCTGCAAGAAAGAACTAGGTGAGTGAACAGATAATTCTGTCATTAAAATTTTAGTGGCCGTATTTATCATGTGTTTAATGTAACTATACATTTTTTGTTGAATGGAAAATTTTCTTTGTCCTTTGTTTCGAGATGTAGAAATGCTTAACAAAATTTACATAATCAGAGTCACTGATTATGTAAATTAAAATTTTTCTTCATTACCCGTTCAAGCCGTCTCCAACCATTATATATTCTGGATTATCTCATTAACGTTCACCTACAGAAACCTAATGCTAATTGGTAAATTATGTTCTACTCTCATCGAGCAGTTTTGATTGTCTCAATACTAAGTGACGATGTAGAAATTAGCGATAATTCTTTCAAAGTTTTGGCTTCTTATACCAAATCTCAACATAAAGATTTGTATTTTCAGTCTAAAATAGCTGTGTCAGTATTTTTAGCTTGAATAACTTTGTCCGTATTTGCAGCCTGAATAACTGTCCGTATTTTCAGCCTGAATAGCTTTGTCCGTATTTTCAGCCTGAATAACTTTGTCCGTATTTTCAGCCTGAATAACTTTGTCCGTATTTTCAGCCTGAATAACATTGTCCGTATTTTCAGCCTGAATAACTTTGTCCGTATTTTCAGCCTGAATAACTTTGTCCGTATTTTCAGCCTGAATAACTTTGTCCGTAACGTGCAAACTTTATTCTCTATCCTTATATCAAAGACGAGAATTATTGATGTGGATTAAAATATTATTATATCTAACTTCTGAACCATTACATCAGTTCTTCAGGTAGACCATGAACTTTGTACTCTACAATCGTAGTTCTTACACGAAACCAACAATAAAATACTATAAACGAAGTAATTTATAACCTAGGTTGTGACACGTGTTTCCACAGATATTTACTCACATTCTTACCTCAGGTAATCCTTTTTTTGTGAGACAGTCCACGTATATTGGGAAATCAGCGTCTGAAACATTCACAGAATGACATGGGTATAATTCATTTCTATAGTATTTATTTGATTCAGAACATGACAAATCTAGCCATACGTGTGCACTTTCAGTGAGTTCGTATGAATACAATTAATTATTCCAATGAACCTGAATGGTAAGATCGTTATATCTATTTCATCAGCCATCAGTTCTAGCCTTCTCTATAAACAACTTACTCTGAACTTAATTATATCAGTCAAATATAACCAGACTGCAGCCATGTTCACATATACACCTTGGAGTGTTAACACTAATGGCGACTACTCTTATGAAGATGAAATTTTTTTTATTTATTAATCTTCCCTGGAAGACATAAGACGAGCATTTCAGAAAATACGAGTTTTCGAGCTATTACAGAACCAATTACAACACTACGTTAAATTTAGCATTTTTAT